GAGGCAGAATGCTTCATCTTTCTCCTACAGAGTGGCTGGTGGGTTCAAACTGCCAACATTCTGGTTAGCAGTCCAAAGCTTAATCTACGGTACCACCAGGGCTCCTCAGCAGAAAATAACCACAGGGAATTGGGGGAGGGAATGGCCTGGCTCCTCAAAAAATATCACCCCAATCCTTACTCCTATTGCTCTTGCTGATGGATCACTTCCTCCTGGAAAATCCTCCCCACTTTTCAGACTCCATCAGACCTCAGTGCCTCTGGGTTGGTCAATGGGGCTTATCTCCACACACACTGAGGGGCAGGAGCAACAGAGTCTTAAGTCAGAACTCACCAGGTAAGCCTCGGCCCCAGCAGACTAGGTGGCCCCAGGTCTTGACTCTCACTGGACTAAAGGTTGGGGGTAAAGAGGCACCAGTGGCAGTCTAGCTTTCTAAAAGCAAAATCCAAAGAGATCACCATCCCCTTCACCCACTCCATGCCTGGAGCAGATGTCCCCTCCTAGGTGGTGGATTTAAGCAACCAATCCAGGCCCATCCCCAGTCAGGTAACCTGAATTGGCTGTCCCACCCTTCTTGCCTCAGCCATGCTTCCCAAAAGAGCAGGCAGACAGGTTGCTTAAGTCCCAGACAGCAACACAGTCAGTGGCAGAAGGTGGAAAAGAAGTGATGGGCCGAAGAATATGGTTAATAGTAGCCTGGCCACTAGGGACTACTCACAGGCCAGAGTTAGTGAGGGGCTCAGGGTCCTCCCATCTCACTCCCAAGGCACGCCCATGGGGAGAAGCTAAGAGCTTTCTGAGCCACCACTCTCCACTTCAGAAACAGCTCAGGAGGAAGTAGTTTCCCATGCAAGCGCAGGGCAGAACTGGACCACTGTATATGTGTACGGTCAGGTATAGATCTATAAGGAGGAAATGACCAGCATTCCATGAATGCTAGGCCCTAGCGCAAGGAACCGAATCCTGGTGTGACACTGTAGAATAAGCACTGGACCACAATGTCAGTTTGATCTGCAAGGTCAGAGGTTCAAACTCACCAGCCACTCCTCAGACACCCTATAGAGGGTCACATGAGTCAGAACTGACTTGATGGCACTTAATAGCAACAGAGCAGGTAACACCTTGCAGCTGCTGCCAGAGTCTGTCCATTTCCTGCTGTGTGCTTCCTCCCACCCCTCCACACCCACCAACCATGCCAAGGTCCCTGCTGGATGGGGGAAGAACTCCCGCCCCCTGCTCTACAAGAACTACTGCCCAGGTATTACAGTCTCTTCCCACACAAGGGTCCAAGACATAAGGCTAATCAGTAGCTAAAGCAGCATGAGAGTGTCCACAGCAACTGCCATATCCTGCCTTGTGGGGTCCTTCCCTGTACTACTTCCTGGAGTAGGGTGATCCCAGCCCTCAGCAGGCCCTCCGCAGGGACCAACCACCTCCCTTACCCAGTTGAGGTCAGGGATGGGGTGTGACTAGGGAGCTGTCAGTCCATACCTCATAAGGGTAGCTGCATCCAAAACCAGGTGGTGACCTCTAACCTGGCCACCACTATCCCACAGAGCTTGGAGCAGCCTCACTTGCTCCTCCCACTCACACAGAATCTGACTTCTGTTATGGTGGGCCAAGAAAGGGGGAAGAGTTGGAACAGAACACTCTCAGCTGTGTTCCCATTGCTGTTCCTCAGTGTTCCTTCCATGCTGGACATTGCAGGGGGAGGCAGCCTAAGGGGAGCATAAAGCCTAGGTTCAGTCTTCCCCAGGATAGGTCAGGCCTCTCCTCCAGGATCCCTTGATCACATCCACAATGAGTGATCCTCAGGGCTGGGTGCCATAGTCCCTACAGTTCCAGGGACTGGCACAGACTAGTACGCAAACAATGTTATAAAAACAAATTAGCATGTCTGAACTGTGCAAGATTGGTCCTTCACTCCTCAACTTCAGTCTCCTCTGCTACAAAATCAGCAGGGTGGACCAGGAGGCCTCAGGTCCTTGTAGACCAGACAGTCTGTGATAGCCCTAAGTACCTGAGGCCTTGGGGTACCTGGTTCCCGGCACCTTTCAGGATCTCCACCAGGCCCAGAATGTACGTCCCAGCTCCCAGAGCAGGCAAGGGCCCAAGTGTCCCTGAGGTATCCCAGGTGTCAGGTTGCGACCCAGCTCTGAATGGGGACACAGGTGTCTCCAGGATTAATCCAGGACTAGGACTAGGACCGGGAAGGGCATGATATGTTATGTTGGTCTATCTTCCTCCCAACAAGACAACCACAGCCAGGTTAAAGACCTAGGCCTGACCCTCTCACACCCTAGGATGAGCATCTTTTCCTTTGTTGTTTTTTTTTGGCTGTTGTTAAACATCTGTTGAGGGCCAGGTGCTGGGATGAATACCTCACCTACATCACTTAATTTAATACTTATCAGCTTACCAATGAAGCAGGTTATTTTACCACCAATCCAGGTGTGGCACTGTAAGATAAGCACCGCACTGCTAACTACAAGGCTGTTGTTGTTGTTAAGTGCTGTTGAGTCGGTCCGACCCATAGGGACCCTGTAAAGTTTCCGAGGAGCAGCTGGTGAGCTTCAACCGCTGACCTTGCGGTTCAAAACGACTTTGCAGTCCAGCACATTAACCCACAACACCACACCAGGACTCCAACTGCAAAGTAGGCAATTCAAATCCACCAGATGCTCCTTGGTAACCTTATACAGGGTCGCTATGAATCAGAACTGACTTGATGGCATTTAGCAACACAATTCTGGTATGACACTGTAGGATAAGCACTGGACTAATAACTGCAAAGTTGGTGATTCAAACCCACCAGCCACTCCTGGGAAACCCTATACAGGGGTCGCTAATGGTCAGAAATGTCTCAACAGCACTTGACAACAACCACAACTATATAGGAGGAAATGGAGGCTCACAGAGGCTACGTGATGTGCTCAAGGTCACACAGCTGGACAATGACAGAATGGAATTGAAATTTAAGATTGTCAATCCCAAGGCTGTGTCTTCAGGCCAGGTCCCCAAGTCAGGTGGTACTTAGCCAATCCTGAACACCCAGGCCCACCCTGTAGGATCCTCCACACCTGTGGGAGAGCTGCATACGGGCTTTCTGGAGACAGAGGCTGAGTCAGGAAGCCATGGTAACAGTGGACACCTCCAGGTCCTTTCATCTCATGCTTTCTTGGGTCATTTTCCAGTGCTGACCCCAGGGTATCCTGCTGTTTTTACCTTTTCTCATCCAGGAATGAGCACTTCTAACCCAAGAGGCAGCATGCTGCTTCCAGGGCAGGAAGACATGCCAATGAGGAAACAGACAGCTGCAAGTACTCTCCTCCCTCCCACTGGGACCTCGAAGAGAGTTCCACCCAGGAAAAGTATGGAAGGAGGGGCAGAGGAAGGACAGAGACTTAGACACAGACCCCTGCGACAATGAGGGCTGGGCATCTGCTCTAGGAATTTCCCACAGCTTGCCCCATCCCAGTTGGGCCCTAGTGTTCTTGACTCCATCACCATCACATGATCTCAAAGCCACAGGCAATGTACACTCATCCCTCAACCAGCCAAATGCCAGCTTCTGACCCTAGTCCACATCATCTCTCAACTGGGCCAGGCCCAAGCTCCTTCCCTCCTCCACCTGTTCTTCATTTAGATTCCAAAAATGAAGGCAGCAAACTGGACCACACCCTTCTTCCCAACCTGCCATACCTCCCCACAACCTGGTCTAGTAAACCCTTCCATCTCTTTCCCCACCCACCACACATCCACTGGCCACATTTCCTCTGTCATCCCATGTCTCTGGACCTTTGCTCTTACAGTTGCCTTGGCCTAACAAGAGTGAAATTCTACTCATGTAAGGTCTACCTCTTTTCTGACCCCCTCCAGCAGACAAGACCTGAGACACACTCTCTTAAGACCACAGCTCAAGGCTCTGTGGGCATCAAGCACAGTGTTTTGTTAGAGAATCAACACTTGTGTGGAGCTTCCTAATGGCAGGGCCAGGTCTGAAGTGTGGCTCAAGTCGAACATGGCAGAGAGGGAATCAGCACATCCTTGTTTCAAATAATTGCCCCTGTTGTAGGGCAGGACCCAGAGCTCCAAAGAGACCTGAGAGACCAGGTGAGTGGGTGGACTGTATGGCATGCCTGCCTCAGCTCTCCAAGCAAGGAACCTGGAGCTAGAAATGCCAAATGCCTAGCTTGGCATGGCTGGGAGCCAGGCCAGGGACTGGGGTCACAGAGGCTGAGAAACCCCTGGCAGTGCTGCAAGTCCATTTAGCTGTGGCCAGCACCACCCCATGGCATGGCAGGAGGCCACGTTGGCAAGCCCTGACTCATTGCAGGCTCTAAGTGTAGCCAGACGCCCACAGGGTGCCAGTGATGCTGCTGAGTGAGTCTCCAGCATCCTGGGCATTGTGGGCAGCTTCCCTGGCCCCACTTGTCCCAAGTCCCTCCCCTCCCAACAAAGTTACCTTGAGGTCCAAGAAACACCATGTCATTCATGTTATTGGACTAGGGAGCACCAGAATGGCTAGAGAGGTTTGATTCTAAGCCCATAACTTGGTACAGTTCTCTCAGTCCTCAAGGGCCTCCAGTCACAGCAAGAGAGCTGAGAACCAAACACTTGAACTCAAAGACAGGGAAGAGTCAGAACAGCCTGGCCTTGGAGTGCTGGCTCCAAATGGAAATGGAAGAGAGAAGGATGGCAAGAAAAGGGAACTGGAGCCTGAGTCCCAGTAGAGGCTAGCAACTCACAGTGGTACGACCCACTATACCCAGATGTCATGGGTAACTATTATCCAGGGGAACATGTCCATGGGAACTGTACCTGGATAGTAACAAGCTAGCACATGGATGTCTGGAGTATGTTCAGGCTAAATTTCGAAAGGGCTCTGAGCCACATGGTTTGTAAAGTCAGCTCAAATATGTTTTCCGCCCTTTCCCCAAAAACCAAAACTCCTCTCCAACAAGCCTTGCCCCAGGTCCCTCCATCCAAAGTCTTCTTACCGTATGGGGGTTGTCGTAGTAGACAGCAATGGAGCGGAGTTTTGGAGAGATGCTGCAGCTCTCGGTGAAAAGGTGCCCTGTCTTGCCATAGGGCCCTCTGTGGAACTTATAAGCCACAGTGATATTTCGGATAGGGGGTGAGCCAGCACGCACTGCCACCTCAGCCAGCAGCCCTGAGTACCCGATGAAGGCCAGCAGCGTCAGCAGCAGTAGCAGAGTCAGGGCCCCAATCAGGCCCAGCAGGAGCAAGTCCGACATGGCTCTGGGCCCCCACGCTGTGCCCCTAGGCAGCTGCAAAGGAGACAGAGCAAGAGGAGGCTGGCAATCTGCTTTGACCAACACACCCACCTGCCTGCCAGTTGGTTCTGGCCCAGTCTTAGCCCTGCCTTGGGTGCTCTGACCCAGAGGGGGAGGAGCCAGAGATGTTTACACATACAGTGACCTAGAAGAGAGCTACAAAGCATGACAGAAGCCACAAGCCTCTTTATTTCTTAATCACAATACTTGAGACTCTCAGAGCAGCCCTGCCAGTCAGCTGGCAGCCCTAGTCATACCTGGGGAAACTGAGTCATAGAGGGGCACAGGAGTGAGTGAGTCAGGGAGCCTGATTCTGGTACCAGCCAGTCTCCCCCTAGATGGGCCAGAGGCCAGACAGCCTGCTTTTCTCCCCACCCTTTTGCCTCCTGTCAGTCCAGTCCCTCAAGCCTCACTGCCAGAGTGAGGACAGGCAAACACCAGGGTCCAAACACATATTAACAGAAATAACACGGGGAGCCAAACCCCAGGTAGACAATGTGACACACATAGGAAAGTCTTTGCTAAGCACATCTGGCCTATGGAGACCTTGCTGTCCAGCAAGATGATCCATCGAGAACCAGGGGAAACTAGATTAAAACAGCCCCCACAATAGAAACAAAAACAGCAATACGCTTTCCAGACTTGAGCCACCAAGTTAACAAACTTCATCCCACTAGTTAGGGATTGAATAGTGTCCCTCCAAAATATATGTCGGAATCATAACCCCCACACCTGTGGACATAGCCCACATCCCATTTAAGAAGTGGGGCTTCTTTGTTATATTGAAAGCAGCCATGTCAGCACAGGGTATGTCTTAAACCTAACTACTCTGGAGAGATGGAGAGCAGATTAAACACACAGAGAAACCAACACAAAGTAGGGGACAACTGATGCCATAGTAGTATTGAGGAAAAAATGAAAGAAACAAAGATTTTCCCTAAAAGTAGAAAAGAGAGCCTTCCTCCAAGAGTTGTTGCCCTGAATTTGGACTCCTATCCACCTAAACTTGAAAAAAAGAAATTTCTGTTCATTGAAGTCATTCGTATATGGTGTGTCTGTTACAGCAGCACTAACTAGGTAACTAAGACACCACTTTTCTAGGCCATAGGAGGGTAGAAGCAGCAAGCAGGGGAGAAGACTGCTAAAAGGAGAAACCCACTTACTCCTAAGCAGAAAAGCTATTCAAGTGCAGACACTGGAACACAATACAGATCAAGTATACAAGCCACTCCAGGCACACCACCAGCATGGAGCCAAAGGCCCAACTCCTTACTGAAAGCTTGATACAAGGACGTAAAATTCAGGGACAGAGAAGACTTTTAGGAGGCAAGGAAACAAGTGACTCACTGGAGTAACATTCCCTCCTCATTTAAATATTAGGTTTTTTAATTTAAGTCCTAAGGAAAATTTAGCTCTATGGAATTTGTTTCTTTGATTTTCTGGAGGTCATGAGTTTATACAGAAAAATTGTCTTTGGAGTCCAATGAGCACACAAGTGCCTCATAAAGGCAAAGAAAATTTCTAAATCTTCTTTGGCATCATAACACTGGGGTGTCTTCTCACCCATTGGTGCTCCTGCCCATCAGTTCCATTATCCTTTTTACTCCCATTCCTAGTCCTACTCATTTGCCTCCAGGCACCGTATAATGTTGAAACCCAGCTACTTCATTAATCCTCCCAACAATCCAGTTGAGTAGGTAGGTACTGGTAAGAAGAGGTGAGGGATTCATTCAGAGACTTGCCCAAGGTCACACAAATATTAGAAGAACCACCTGGATCAGGATGCAGGTGGTGGGAAACCTGGCAGTCTGAAGTCTGCCAAGGCCCCCATTTCGACTTTCTCCTTCTTTGTGACAAGCTTCTGGAATGACTCAAGCATTTATTCTTGTTGGACACCTCACTTGTCCTGGGAGGAACTGATAGACCCTCCCAGCCACACACTTCCTGCTCTCTCAAGGGAACCTCATTCTTTTCTTCCATGTCCTAAACTGCTTAGAAAAGTGGGGGAATGCAATTTTGGGTCACCACGGGAAGGGGGAGGGGCAACGTGACTCTCGTCCACATACACGAGAAACAGGGGAAGAGAAAGACTAGGTAAAACTAGGTAGACTCACCTGGCAAGCCAGGCTCACTTTTAGCAGCTCATGGTGTCCAGTCCTACAGGGGTCAAATGTTCCGGTGCTGGGGGCAGAAAGAAGTCAGTCACAACCCACCTCCTCAGGGAAATCACCACTGTGCTGGGCCACTGAGCCTTGGCTGTCTCCTTTTCAGGAAAAGTCCACTGGAGCCTCTACCCCGCCCGCCCCCCACCCCTCCACTGGGCCATAGGATCCAAACCAGCCTTATAATGTCACACTTGTCATGAGGTCGCTAATCGAGTCCCTTGAGCCGCTGCCACTTCATTTTCCTGGGAGGACACATGGCCCGGGGAAAAAAAGCCCCTGCCGGTGACCTCCCACTTGGGCCTCGGTTTCCCCTCAGGTCAGAGGGCCGGGCGCAGGCATCTGGGCGGGCGGGCTGTCCCAGACCAGCTTCCTGGTGCCGCTCACGTGCGCCGCGGCGGGCACCACCCTTAAAGGGACCGGCCGCGGGGAAAACTCGGCGCCAGCAGGAGCAGAAAGCCTGCGGCTCCAAAGGGTCTGCGCGGGAGGGCGGGGACGCGGCCTCTCATCCAGCTTTCCGCTTAGCCACGACCTCACGACGCCCCACGCACCTCCGGTAACTGAAGAGTCGCTAAACTTTTCAATCTAGGCTGCGAGGCGTGGCCTCTAGGGGCAGGTTCGGAGTTAAATTGCAGCTCATGACTCAGTTTCCAACTCCACGGCCCCAGAGGCCAGCCATGCACACGACACAGTGGGAGGTGGCCCCACAGAGGTAAGGGCTGGCGCAAGGTCGCGTCCTGGCCTGGCCCCTCGAACCCAAGAGGGGCAACTGTGAGGCAAGAGATGTAAAGAGCGATCCGGGCCGCGAGGGTCAGGAGGGATTCCGGGGAAGCCTGAGGCCAAGACCAGGCGGGGTCTTCAGGAACGCGGCTGCAGAGTCGCTTCCCCTCGGGCCCAACCCTCACCTCAGCGGCCGCCGGCCCGGAACACTGATCAGCTCCGGCGGCTCCCACCTCGGTCGCCGGGCCTCAGCGCGTTTGCAACGCACGCTCGCTCCGCCCCCTCTCGCGGCGGGACGTGGCCGTGGCCGTGGGCGCGTGCGCCCGCGACCTTAAGGGCGGAGGCCTGCTAGGGCTTGTCTCCATAGCAACGGGCGTGCACCAACCTTCGGGAGGGTACAAGGGCAGTGCCCACCGCGTACCCTCCCTCCACCAGCAAACTTCGGGGTTTCTGGCCGGTAGTGAGCCTTAGCAATAACTCCCTGACATTGAGGTTGGCAGGAGCAGCACACGCAGGTCTGACCCCAGGATTGGAGGGAAATCAGTACGGTGGCCCTCAAGAGAGGTCAGGTGAAGAAGCCGCACAGTGGTATAAACTTCTCACTGAAGCTAAATAGGAACCAGGCAAGGCAGGGCCACTTGCTCTCGTGTTACAGCACAGGAAGCTGAGGCCCAATATGAGTTTAGGTAAGAAGTGGTGGGTCTTACCTCTTAACAAAGAAAATACCTACTTCCTATTTCCCACCCCTCATCTCCAACCAGAGCATAGCGGTGATGATTCATCTATCCACCAAACATTGCCACTCCCCACCAGCAGAGTTCTAGGCGCTGGGGTTACTGTGTGAACAAAACCAAAGCCTTGCCTTGCTGGAGCTCTTGTTCCAAGAAAATGATCCCTTTCCAAGCTCCTCCCTTGGTGCACTGGATATTGGTCACTTAACTTGGAGGGTGGCTGGAGGAGTCTGGTTTGCTCTTCTGGCTTAGCCTACCCTAGGTGACTCCCAGGTCAACTGTAAGCTCTTCGCAAACACAATTTTCAACTTTTTGAGCACTTGCAAACTACAAAGCACTCTGATAAGACTCCAAAGACTTGTCCTGAAAGGCCCAGTCTTGTGGTGGATGTGGGTGTGTGTTGAGGAGATGACAGCCATGCTCACAAGCTCAGCTACAAAACAGACTAGGCCAAGAGCCACCTGCGTGATTTGATATGGAACTTTGATGCTTAGGAGAGGTATCACTGTGATGAAACACCAGAAAGGTACCTACCTGTGTAAGAAGTCAGAAGCCATGGGTTGAGTGCATCTTGTGGATCCCCAATACCACCAGTACATTAACAAAGGGCAGGTGAAGCACTCAATTCTCCCACAGGCAGGGAAGACTGATCCTTTTCCTCAGGGCCAAGCCTGACCCAATCCTATGGGTAGACTAGCCAAGTGGGCAGCTGGTTCCTCATAAGTCCTCTGGGCTGGGTCATGATCATGGCAGTTGTTTGGCCTGTGATTGATCACATACAGGATCAAACCCTTTGGGTGGTTCCAGGCAGATTGGCTAGGAGGGGCCAGGGTGCTATCGGAGACCAACTGCCTCTGTTTGCAGGATCTGCACATTCTTCTGCTTTTCAGAAGCTGATGTGCATCTTCTCCCAGGAAACCATTGTCTAGAGCTGCCCTTTCCACATTTTGTGTTCTCTGCTCACTTTGTTTAATCTGGCTGGGGAGCACGAGAGCCTCCATTCGACGACAGTCTACCTGTAACTGGGGACTGCAGATTAACAACTAGCCAGGCTTCATTTCAGGCTATTCCCAACTGTGGAAGTACAGCCCATGGCAGGATACTTGTAAGGCTCCCACTGGCCACCAGAAGGCAGCAGGCTAATTTGCAAGACACTTTCTTCTCCTTGTGTAGCCCAGCAGTTAGTCGGCCTCACCCACACTTCACTCCCAGTTTGCTCTTTCTATAGCACAATCTCTCCTTTCATCTCCATGAGCCCAAACTTGGCCTTTGTCTTCTCTCACTTCCTCTGTTCAAAGACTCCCCGCAGAAACTCTTTTACTTCTCCCTTAATAAATATCCAGAGAAT